GTAATTTATCTTTATCTGTTCAATTCCATTTTAGGAGAAATAAGCAGTTTTAAACTGTTTTTCTTGAAGAACAAGAAATTAGAATCAAATTATAAAAAAAAAACATTTCTAGAATTCTAGAATTCGTTATCTTCTCTTGTATAAAACATTAGGCCTCAGAGAATTTTTTTGCACTCAAATAGTTGAATGACCCAATTAATCCATTTTAATAGCACTAAAAAAGACAAAGACCTTTAATTGCCACAGTAATTGCATTTGAATCCCTTCCCCCCCATTCTTAATGAAGGCGTATGAATTGATGTCTATTTGTAGACATTTATTTCTTGAAAAATGTGCAGTGTTAAAGATTCTAATGAGTGTTTGTTTCAAAGGAAGAAAAATATGCACTAATATAATAATGGCTAAGGATAAGAGTAGAGTGTGGAAGATGTGATGGAGCGTAGGACCCCAGCCTGTTCATGGAGGGTGGCAGTCCTCTCAAGGGAGGACGTGCTGTTGCAGAGGAGTGCTTGGTTGAGACGGGGAAGGGAGTTATTACCAGAAGACTTCAGGCTCCCCTCTTTAATCCCATTTTGTCAGAAATATCAGAAGGCTTTTGGAAAGACTAGAAGGAAATATGTCAAAATGTCAACACAGGTTCTGGCAGAACAGTGGGAGTCTAGATCATTTTTCTTCTTATATTCCAAATTTTGGGGTTTCTTAATGAAAAAAATAATTATTTAAAAAATTTAACTTTGGGAGTCACTCCACTATAAATTTTACCTTCATCATTAAATAGGAAAAAAAATAGACTTTTATATTTTTATGAAACCTCCCATTGTTATTGGATTTTTAATTATAACTTGTTTTATGTTTCTTTTCTAAATAGACCTTAGCTCCAAGAAACTGTGTTTCAAAAATCCAGAGGCCCAAATCAGACTTTTGTCTGCCTGATTGTTTACTCTTTGCTAAACCTGTGTTTGTTGGGCCCATATGTTATCTTTGCTCATGATCAGCTGGATTTTCTGTGCATATGACCTTTGTGTAGAGAATAGTAGACGGTGGCAGCTTCTAGAGCATTTCAAAAAAGCACATCAATATCACACAGGAATGCCTCCCCCCCCCCCCCGACTGCTCTCCTTATTCTAGTGAGGCTGGGGACAGAACAGAATCTTAGAAATGGGGGTAACGTGGTGTGGCATTGCAGGGGATAAGGAGTGTCGTGAGAAAGCCTCATGAGTGATTGGGCCCTCCCTCGGATTAGAGCTTCTAAGAAAGTAACTACAGGCTTACAAGCAAGGAACTTTTTTTTTTCTTCTGAAACTTAGCAAAATTTTTATATGTTCTTCAGAATTTTTAAGTCAAATGTTTAGGACTTCAAGACACCTTTTCCCATAGAAATAGTATTAGAAAGCCAGCTCCACAGTAGTCTTTTATGAAACCAAACTGTAGTAATATGCCAATAATGTCATAAGCCCTGTCATTGTTTTATGGAGAAACAAATTCCAGTTTCAAACTTAGAAGGCTTGTTGGTAAGATCTAAAGAGGATTTCTTTTATTCATTTATTTATTTATTCATTTTTCCCCAGTGCCAATCCTACCTTCAATCAAAAAAGTTCTGTTTTCATCTAATTTGTATGCTAAAATTGTATAGATTTTATTTGAAGAGAAGATTATGTTGCAAATATATATTTTAAACTATTGTATCAGTCTAGCTGCCCGAAATGTAATATTTTCATCTCCTTGTCTCTTTTGACTTGCCAGTCTAGACAGCCCCTGATAAATCCAGCTATATCTCTTTTCTAGTCACCTACACTCTGGAATAGTAATATGCCCCTGCTGATTATCTCTATAGCCAAGTGATGAATTTCTCTGGGCCCATAATGCTACTTGACAACATTTTTCCTTTTCTCTAATTTGATATTTCTCAATCTGGCATTCTGAGATATTAATAAGTGGCATGAAGAAAGTGTTCTGTGCTCTGAGAAATTTGTCTACTTAGATCCTTTTTTAGGAGATAATAATACATATTAACATATTAAAGCCTTCATGAAATTCTCCAGTAAAGAATTCTGTTTAACTTTTTTTTTTTTTTGCTGAGGAAGACTGGCCCTGAGCTAACATCTGTTGCCAATCGTCCTCTTTTTTTTTTTTTTTTTGCCTGAGGAAGATTAGCCCTGAGCTAACATCTGTGCCAGTCTTCTATGTTGTATGTGGGTCGCTGCCACAGCATAACTGATGAGTGGTGTAGGTCTGCACCCAGGATCGGAACCCGTGAACCCAGGCTGCCGAAGTGGAGTGCACCAAACTTTAACCAGTATGCCATGGGGCCAGCCCCTCTCTTTAACTTTTTTTAATTCTTCGTTTCCCAATTTATTTGAACATGAAAGATTTTATCTTGAGGGATGGATATTAACAACTCATGGAACAGTGTTTCATAGAGCACAAGTTTGAGAAACATATCTATAGTTGGCCTATTTCTCTTCTCAAAAGTGGCTGTTCCAGACCTATACAGTTTCAGCTCAGGCCCCCAACCCTATCTCAATGCTTTATATTTTCAGACCCAATCTCTATTTCACTGAGAAAATGGAGATTGTCAACTTCCCTCTAAATTTATCAGTGTCCATATATCCTTTCCTCTTGTCTAGACTTTGTTCTATCATCAGACTGTAGCCTGGCTGAAGTCAGAGAGCATAACATTTATTCACTATTATATCCCTAGCCCCAAACACAATGCTTTTTCTTGAACCCACATCCCTTTCCAGCAATCACCTCATTTCTCTGTATTTTGTTTCAGCCACACCTGGGTGTATGGCAATTCAGTTCTGGCACTAACCACCCAGAGTTAGAACAGACCCCACAAGTTAAAGAGCATGGTCCCCAACAAGACTGCTCTTAACTCCAAACATCAGCCACAGCCTGAGAATCCCCAGGCCACCCACACTTCTAACCAACTGGCCATAAACCCAGGCTTCCCGTGACCCTCTCGGAATTGGTAATTCACTAGAATGACTCAGAACTCAGGGTGTGATTACAGTTTTATTATAAAGGATATAAATCAGGAGGACCAGCCAAATGAAGAGACACACGGGGCAAGGTCTGGGAGGAAATGCAGAGCTTTTGTGCCCTTGTTACTACACAAAATTGGAGTTCTCTTGCCCAATGCACGTAAACAAGCCACTTAATTACAGCATCAGCCTTTGGGAAAAGAGATCAGCTTTATTCTGTGAGATCCATCTGCAGGGAGACGGGGGGCGTGTGCCCTCAGATCTGCCTCCCTGATTCAGGATTTGAAATTTAAGGGGTTAGGGAGAACAGGCTGGCATGTGGAAATGCTGGCAGGACAGGTTTTGATTGGTGGGCTTCAAGCATTTATGGCAAGGTTCTAAACGTTCATGATAAGGCTCTAAACATTTATGATGAGGTTCTAAGGTGGGGAAGGAATTTTAACACTGGATCTTCTGGAATGATGGACTCCTTCTTCTGATAAGAATCTGATTTTTAAGTTCTGGTCATGTGCCGGTCCTTTGGTTTGTAGGGAGGAAAATCTTTGGTTTTGAGGTCATTTCAGGTCAAGATTTCTTCTGTGCATGCTCAGGCTATGTGACTTTGCAAATTTTCTGAAAGGCAATTCTTAATCACTCTGTTGATAAGATGGGGTCAGTGGAACTGGTCCTGGAGGGCCCACAGTTACATCCTCTCCTCGTGGAATCAGTGTGCATCCCCCTCCTGGCACATCAGTGTCTTCACCAACTAGGAAAGGTCCATTGAGCTTCAGTATCTAGAGTTTTTATTGGGATTTATCACATAGGCATGATTGATTGAATTATTGGCCATGTGGTTGAACTCAATCTCCAGTCCCCCGGTCTTGCTGGAGGTTGGGGGTCAGGCTGATATCATGTGGCTCAAAGCCCCAACTCTAATCACGTGGCTGGTCTTTCTGGCATGGCCAGTCCCCATCCTAAAACTATCTGAGTGAGACAATGGATCTCCTCATTAGCATAACAAAGACACTCCTGTTACTCAGGAAATTCCAAGGATTTAGAGTCTCCCTCCCAGGAATCAGGGACAAAGGCCACTTTAATAAAAGGGGGAAAAATCTTCCCTTGATCCTGCATCTTGCTGTACCTACCACTCTCTTTTTCCCTCCCATCACTGCCAGACTTTGAGAACCTATATTTGCTGTTTATATTTCCTTGCCTCTGGTTTACTCCTTAATGTCATTCACTTCTACCAGCTCCACAGAAAGTAACTTGTGAAGGTCACTGAGTCACTAATTAGGCTTCCTAATTAGTAAATCCATTTCCTTTTTTAAGTCTTCAATCTAACCTGACTGTTCTGGTGTGTGATACTAACTACTCCCTCTTCCATGATGCCACTCTTTTGTGGTTGACCTACTGCTCTGACTGTTCCATCCCAGTCTCTTTCCTTGTTTCTTGCCATGTCTCAGATGTTGCTGTTCTTTAGAATTTGGTGCTGCATTCACTTCTCACTAGAAACTCTCCCTAAGCCATGTCATTCATTTCCATATATCTCCTTTATGCTGATGACTTCCAAATTTGGGTCTTTAGGCTTGGCTTTACCTGCAATCCAGGCTTGGGTTTCTGACTTTACTGGAATTTCCATCAGGATGTCCTATAGGAACCTTAAATATAACATGTCCAAAACAAAATTCACTATCTTTTTATCATTTAACCTTATGTTATATGTATAATAATAGAATATACTCCATAGTGTAATTGTAAGGATGGAATGAGATAATGCATAAAGCAAACTTAATAAAATTATGGCACATAGAAAGTACACAGTACACAGTAGCTATTATTATTACATGACAGTCTTCCCTATTAGACTGCAAGCTTCTTGAGGGCAGGAACATGTCCTCAAACCTAACACTGTCCTTGGCTTGTAATAGATGCGCAGTAAAGGTTTGCCGAGTTAAAATATGTAACTATCTGATTTATTAATCATCATGTCTGTTTAACAGTGGGCAACATCAGGTGTGTATTTTTTCTCTGTAGGTGCATTGTGCTGTAATCATTCAAAGGATAACCAAATGTGCCGTGATGTGTGTGAACAGGTAAGCTGATGTAATAATTGTAGAGGCTGTTCGTTATATAACTGTTTATTAAGTGTAATTGCTTTGGAGAAATCTGTTGGACAGCACCTTAACCAAGTGATGAGTTCACATCACCAGTAATGGAACAGAAAGGAAACTAGAGAGTCATGACAACTAAATGTACTGCGTGATCCTGGAATAAAAAAAAAGATTTCTATAAAGGGCATTATTGGGATAAATTGGTGAAATTTGAGTATGGACTGTAATAATATTGTATCAATGCTGTGATCCTGTGTTTGGTGATTGTATTGTGGTTAGGTAGGATGGTGTCCTTGTTCTTAGGAGATACCTGCTGGAACTTAGGAGTGAATGATCATGTCTGTAATGAATTCTAAAATGTTTCATCAAAATAGTAGTAATAATAATATATGTATATGTAGATAGAGTTAAACCAAATGTTGCAAAATGTTAATAGTGGGTGAATCCAGATAAAGACTATGTGGGTATTCATTGTACTACTTTTGAAACTTTTCCCTAAGTTTGAGTTTTTCTCATTGAGCCTTATTAGACAAATTCCACTGAGACAATACCTGTTCATAAAGTCTTACTTTTCTTTCATCATCTTGGTGGTATTGTTCGAGCTTTAGCACTTGAGAATGAATGGCTTCAATCAACTTTTAGAGGAGTTTTCAAATAATAATGTGGATTTTGTCACTTCCTTAAGGGAAGAGAGCTGCCTAACTGGGATTAAAACTCTCAAACAATATTATGAATTTAGCAGGGTTTTGCAAGAGACTCTCTAATTATAAACAAGACAGTGACTCAGGTCGTATAAAGAGCTGTTGGAGAATTTGTGTTGAAACACTATAGCAAATTGTTTTGCACAGATTTATTGCCAGAACAATAGCTTTTAAAAGCAAAACTAGCCCCTTGATGGTGTCACCTAGGAAGCTTTTAAAGTAGCTCTGCTCCTTTTGGAAGCACTGCTTTCCTGACTTTTTGCTTTGTTTCCTCATGTTTTTCCCACTGGTGTTCCACAGGGTGAATGATTTTTATGAGGTACCTGCGGCAGGCAAGGTCTAATTGCTTAACATCTGAAATGTTAGAAATTCTGTAACTTAGCAAATTAAGTGAATACTATAGTTACCCTAATAAAGAACATTCTTCTATGACCAAGTTCTTAACTAACTGAGAAATAAAGCAAAGAAATAAGGCAGATAGGGCCCCAAATACTACTTTTATTACTAGTTACATGAACGTTGAATGTAACTTTTATCTCCAGGTACATACTACAGTGCAGAATTAGACTTAGTCCCAGAGGAGGAGAGGTAATGGCTGGGTTACATTTGTTCACTTTCTCCTACCAAACTCACGACTCAGGTAAGTCAATCATTCCAGTCACAGGGAGTGCGAGTGAGTGATGTGGAGAAAGCCCGGGCTGCTCACACCTGGAGAGCTCACTCAATGAAAGGAAATACCTGGAGCAAGGAATCCTTATTTTTTCAGCCACTAGCAAATGAAGAAAGGGTGGAGTCCTGAAGACATTTAAGTTTTGAGTTGGAGTGAGTGGTAGTACCCCTGATGGCTGTGGGAGGTTGGGAAAAAGATTTGGTTTGGGAGGAAGGCAAGTTGCTGAATCATCAGTGAAAACCACCATGTGAAGACAATTGGAGATTTGGAATTAAAGCTTTTAGAATTTGAATTTAGAAATGCAGGTGACGTCAGCATCATGGCGGAGTGAGCTGTTCCCTTAGTCTCTCTCCTCACTAAGTTACAACCGAACTGGCCATTCATTAACCAACAGAGGATTCCCTACAAAACACAAGAGGATGTCTGAGAGATGCACGCATCCCTATGTCTGAAGGTGGGGATACTGGATCCTTGGGAAGCAGTGGAAGGAAGTGAGCGCATCCCCTCCCCATCCCCAGCAGGAGCGATCTAGGTCACAGGTCCTCATGCAGCAGCTGGTGCACAACTCTGAGAGGGAGCAGGCAGGCCTGTGCAAGAATGCTTTTGGAGTTGCACCTGTGCCCACAGGAATGCTCCATACCAAGTGGTGCAGCTCAGCTACCATGTAGGTGCCCCCACCAAGTGCAGCAGCCCAGGTGAACTGCCTTTGAGTGCAGGGTGGGCCTGCACGTGAGAAAGAAAGTGCCCCTCCCCTCCCCTCCTGCATAGCACACCAGCTCAGCCAATCCCCAGGCAAGGCAGGGGATCCGTACCAGAGTGCCTGCGTGTGCATGTGTGACCCACCAAGTGGCTGTGGGCAACGGGCAAAAGCAGACGAGCCCTATGAGCACAACTTCCAGCAGACGTGGCAGGTTCAGAAAACACAGCTGCTGCCCCCGCCACAGAGGTGGCTGATGGAATCTGTTACCTGATACTACCACTATACACTGGCAAAGGATCACTTCATCAAACACTGTGAAGAACTACATTAACACCTAAGAGCAGAAGGAAAATGAGAAGTCTTCTGAAACCAATCCTGAAGTCACAGAAATTTACAATTTAAATGACAGAGAATTCAAAGTAGTCGTCATAAAGAAACTCAACGCGTTATAAGAAAACTCAGAAAGACAGTTCACTGAACTCGGGAATAAAATTAATGAGCAGAAGGAATGCTTCACCAAAGAGATTGAAACTCTTAAAAAATAAAAACCAAATGGAAATTCTGGAGGTGAAGGACACAATGAATGAGATAAAAAACAATATAGAAACCTTAAAAGCAGAGCTGACATGGAGGACAGAATTAGTAATTTAGAGAACGGAAATATAGAAATTCTTCAGGTGGAGGAGGAAAGAGAGCTAAGACTTAAAAAAAAAATGAAGAAACTCTTCGAGAAATATCTGACTCAATTAGGGAATGCAACTTAAAGATTATAGGTATTCCAGAGGGAGAAAAGTGGGGGAAAGGAGCAGAGAGCTTGTTCAAAGAAATAATAGCTGAGAACTTCCCAAACCTTGGGAAGAAAGTGAACTTACAAGTATATGAAGCCCATAAAACTCCTAATTACATCAATGCAAAAAGACGTTCTCCAAGGCATATATTAGTAAAACTGGCAAAAGTCAATGACAAAGAAAAAATATTAAGGGCAGCAAGGCAGAAGAGAATAATCTACAAATGAACCCCTATCAGGCTTTCAGCGGATTTCTCAGCAGAAACCTTATAGGCTAGGAGAGATTGGAATGATGTATTCAAAATACTGAAAGACAAAAACTTTCAGCCAAGAATACTCTATTCAGTGAAACTATCCTTCAGATCCGATGGGGAAATAAAAACTTGCCCAGATAAACAGAAGCTGAGGGAGTTCATCACCACTAGACCTCACTTAGGAGAAATGATCAAGGATGCCCTCGTACCTGAAGCAAAAAGGCAAAGGTTTGCAAAGCCTTGAGCAAGGAGATAAACAGAAAGACAAAATCAGAAAATTGCAGCTCTCTATCAGAACAGGATAGCAAACACTTAATTATAACATAAAATATAAAGAGAAGGAAAGCATCAAAAATAACTATAAACACTTCATTTTAATCACAAACTCACAACACAAAACAGAATAGTTTGTGACAACAATAACTTAGAAGGGAAAAAGGAAAGGAATGGAACCTGCTTAGGCTAAAGGAGATAAGAGGCTATCAGAAAATGGACTATCTCATCTATGAGATCTTTTATACAAACCTCATGGTAACCGCTAAACAAAAAATCAGGCAGAGACACAAATCGTAAATAAAGAGAAAATTGAGAAAAGCATCACAGAAAACCATCAAACTGAAATGGCAGTCAGAAATACAAGGGAAGAGAAACTAGGGAAATATAGAACAACTCGAAAACAAGAGATAAAATGGCAGAATTAAGCCCACATATATCATTAATCACACTAAATGTAAGTGGATTGAATTCTCCAATGAAAAGACACAGAGTGGCTGGATGGATTAAAAAACAAGACCCAACAATATACGGCTTTCAGGAAACACATCTCAGCTCTAAAGACAAACACAGGCTCAGAGTGAAGGGATGGAAGATGATACTCCAAGCAAACGGCAGGCAAAAGAAAGCAGATGTTGCCATACTTATATCAGATAAAGGAGACTTCAAGATAAAAAAGGCAATGAGAGACAAAGAGGGGCAATATATAATGAGAAAAGGGACATTCCACCAAGAGGATATAACACTTATAAATATATATGCACCTAACACAGGAGCACCAAAGTATATAAAGCAACTATTAACAGACCTAAAGGGAGAAATTAACAGCAACACAATAATAGTAGGGAACCTCAACACACCACTTACATCAATGGATAGATCATCCAGACAGAGAGTCAACAAGGAAACAGTGTCCTTAACTGAAATACTAGACCACATGGACTTAATAGATATATATAGAATACTCCATCCCAAAACCACAGGATACACATTCTTCTCAAGTGCACTTGGAACATTCTGAAAGATAGACCAATGTTGGGAAACAAGGCAAGCCTCAGTAAATTTAAGAAGATTGAAATCACATCAAGCATCTTTTCTGATCACACTGCTATGAAACTAGAAATCAACTACAAGAAAAAAGCTGGGAAAGTCACAAATATGTGGAGACTAAACAACATGCTACTGAACAACCATTGGATCAATGAGGAAATCAAAGGAGAAATCAAAAAATACCTGGAGACAAATGAAAATACATCATACCAACTCTTATGGGATGGAGCAAAAGCGATTCTAAGAGGGAAATTCATAGCAATACAGGCCCACTTCAACAAAGAAGAAAAATCTCAAATAAGTAATCTTAAACTACACCTAACAGAACTAGAAAAAATAAGAACAAACAAAACCCAAAGTCAGTAGAAGGAGGGAAGTAGTAAAAATTAGAGCAGAAATAAGTGAAATAGAGACACACACACACACACACAAACAGTAGAAAGGATCAAGGAAACTAAGAGCTGGTTATTGGGAAGATAAACAAAATTGACAAACCCTTTGCCAGACTCACTAAGAAAAAAAGAGAGAAGGCTCAAAAAAATTAGAA